AAAAAGAAAAAGAAAAAGAAAAAGAAAAAGAAAAAGAAAAAGAAAAAGAAAAAGAAAAAGAAAAAAAAGCCGGAATTGCGTTTTAATTTTTTCATTCAGAAACGGTCATTAAGTCATTATAAAGTCTATCAAAAAAAGCAGCTATTTAAAATTCTATTAAAATTCTGGTAAGTTACTTATGTTGGAATAAGTGCACGAATAATAGAAGCAAAGAAAAGGTAAATAAGAAATATGTTCTTCTGTTGTTTTCTATTTATCTATTTCTAAAAAAAATAATAGTTGTAACACRACTAGTGGCCAATTTTGCGCCCAAATTCACAGTAAATATCGTTTTATTCCTGGTTATTACTTACCTTGTCTTAGCATTTGTGCTTATTAACTCTTTTGCAGGTCTTCTTTCTCCAACCTTTTAGCGTAGAAATTTAAATCTGCCGCCAGTTGCGAGAGAATCAACGCGATCTTGTCCACTATGTGGCCAGGCCTGCTAACGTCACAATATCACTTTTGGATTTTTGAACGATCTTGTTTTCGTCTTGGTGTGAAGTGAGACGTTCTTTTCTGAGACTTTGCAATCCACGGACATTCTAGCTGTTAAAGAATAAAGAAAACAAACACATGTACGAAATTCAAGTGAATGCATACTATTACTATTGAGGGTTCGATTTAAGACCACGGTGTGCGCACGATCAAAAACTGCTCAAACGCGCTGAAATATGCGAACTGACATCAGCATTACTTCCCCAGGCAACTTCATGGGCATTTTTTTTTTAATTTTTCACCTCCTAAGATGAATAGGAGCCCAAAAAATCCTAATTTTCCCCATTCGATGAAAACAGGGTGTCGCCGTTCTCATTGAAAACCTTTTTGTAATGGGAATATATGGGATTTCCCAGAAATTAGCCACAAAAACAGCATGAGAACAAGGACCAGTAACAACAAGTTTATTAAGATATTTGAAGAACATGTATCCATTTTTGCGTGCAAAAGAAAAAAATTGATTGACGTCATAACTTAAAGTAGATTTCATTGTGTCTGAAAAAGGCCTCGTTGGTCGTGTGATTGAGAGCGGTTGTAAAATTACGTGAATCTTGAAAAGGAGAAGGAATATTATTGCGACCTGAATATCAAGTAGAACGTCTCCTAGCAACGAGTCACGCAAGATGTAATTAAAATTTTATGCGCTATTGAGTTGTATACTTTCACTTTGTAAGGCGGAAGTACCGTAAGAACTAACTGAACAAACCTTTGTGGGGAAAAAACATTGAAGATTCAAGATGACAATGAAAGATTCCGAAGTGGCGAGGAAGATGGAGGAAATGACGGACACAATGATCATTTCGCTCATGGAACGACTTAAAAAAACTGACATCAAAAGCGACCTCGGAGAAGATTCTTCTACCTCAAGCTCGTCGCCACAAGACCAAATGAATGAAGTGCTGGCTTTTTATGACGATTCCATCGAGCAGCTATGGAAAATCGCTGACAACATCTGCAAAACTTCAACAGCTGAAGAGGAGCACGCAGGTACAATTTTTATGGGAAGTTCTGGTGATGGAACTTATTTGCCCGAGATTTCAGACACATATGATACGTATGTCATGGAGGAAGACTCACAGTTTGAAATGCAGGAAGATCTAGAAGCGATTGACTCGGAGAATGCTAATGAGATGGGAAACTCTAAAAATCTTCTCAAGGTATAGCTCAGTGCATGTACTACATATTTAAATTTTTTCCCCTTTTTTGTGTGTTTAAACTAAGTGCATGTGTGAAAAATAAGATTTAGGATACTTCGGACTTTAGCGTCGAATCCGATGAAGCGCGACCTGCTCTGTAGTCTTCAAGGTCCGCTTGCAGAGCAAGAGAATTACACAAGCATAAGTGCTATAAAATCAGGTGATTGTACAAATGCAGACCTTGAGAACTAGAGAGTCGCCCTTCATCCAAGCTAAAAATATTGTCGCAATTCTGTCTATCTCGGTCTGACCTGTAGTAAGATGCCGATAAATGATAAAAATAAAAGGTTAAGAACCTCAACAGGTATAATAGAATAAGTTAATAGTTTTGAGGGATATTTTTCTCCTAGTGTCCTAACGGTTGGCATGCATGTATGTGTGTGTTTGGTATATCTGTTTGTCCATATATCTATCTGTTTGTCTGTCCATTCGTCTCCCTACGTTGTCTGTCTGTTTATGATTATTTGTCTTTTCATCCATCTGTCTGTCGTCATGTCTGTTTTGCGTCTCTCTCTGTCGGTCTGTCTGTCTGTAAGTTCTTCCATCTTAGACAAGAATTGTTTATTCGTTTTTGACTTGTATCTAATTTATTCCCGATAAATTCAGAATTTTCTATATCAAATAAGATAAAAAATCCAAAGATTTTATTCCGTCTACAACTAGGTATTGCCTACGGAAAAGTCTGGATTTTTCCTCATCACTTGGACCGAGTACGGCCTACAGTTAAAAGCAAAACACGAAGCAAAACAAAACCCAGCACAGGCCGAGGCCCGTGTCGCAAAGGAAAGAAAAGAAATTGCCATCTTTGAAAGATTGCTCGAATATACAGACGAAATTCAACACGAAGGAAAGACGTTACCTGTGATTTCTCCATTCAAGATTCGACAGGGATATCTTAGTAATCCTCCCACAAGTATTCAAGGTATGTAAGTATTAATAACGCGAACTCTGAAGCCTTCTCGCCTTTTTCTACCATCTTCATCTAACTAGACGAAGAAACAAGAGATTCTTTAACCCATATTAGCCATTTCGAGGTCGAGGGAGGAAATGGGTCGAGTTGGTATTGCAGTGCATTGTGGGTCTGTTTTGGGGGACGAAATAGCCGCCATCTTGGAAAGCAATACCCAATAGACCTTTCCCGAATTTGCTTCTGTAATTATGTAGTGACTAGGCACAAAACGAAATAGTTCATTAATATGAAATAATAAATAGAAATCATGGCTCCAAAACAAGGCGGGCTTGAGTTTTTCATACGTTTAGCAGGGCCGTAACCAGGGGGGAGCACAGGGTGCACGTACACCCCCCACATAAAAGCTTAAGGTCCGCTCATCTATCTCCTTTTGTTTTAAAATTGCATGTAAATGTTTTTTTGATTAAACTAAGACCACTTACCATCTGCATATTGTAGCATTTTTAAGAATCACTCACCCATTATTCCTTTTTTTATGGTTCTGCTTTCTTTTGGTTCCGCTATTTTTTATTTTATTTATTTTATTTTATTTTTTGGTTACTTTTTTTTTGGTTCTGCAAATCATTGCCTGTGCACCTACCCTGCAAGATACCTGGTTACGCCCCTGTTTAGAACGTTTACGAAAGTTCTACTGGGGCAAGAGATAGGATTATCATAAACTGTGTTTTTATTATTTAGGCTATCCGGTATGGTTTCGCATGTTAGACCAGAACTCTCCCGCCATTACTTTACTGACAGAGGAATTCAAACAAAATGATGAATCGATCAGAAAGGTTCAAGTCACCGACCTCGTTCTTGGCATTCGCACGACCATGCCTTGTCTAGACCACAAATGGATGGAAGAAAAGGAAAGCTCAAGCAAATGGCTGACGAAAGACCTGTTGTCCAAGCTGCAAGAAAGCAAAAGTTTCGTGGTAACAAAGTCTTGGGAGAGCGAGCAAGAAAACTTGTTTATTTGGAGAATCTCCTATTCTGTAGTCGAACGACAGTGCATAAAATTTCTTCCTCGGGAACCAAAGATTTGCCTGATCATCATGAAGGCAATTCGCAGGAAATTCTTAAGCGAACCTAAAGGCTTGGTCACATACCATCTCAAGACCGTTCTATTTTACCATCTTGATAAAGTTGGAAGCGACTGGGAGGCAACAGATAGAGCTCGAAATATCCTTGTCTTGCTCGACGCCTTAGCAGGAGCTCTAAAGAACAGGTCATTGCCTTTGTTCTTTGAACCTGGTATTAACACTCTTGGAGGAATGGACGAGAAAACTGCAGCAAAACTAGAGATGAAAACTCGAGAAATATTGGGCTCTCCTCGTGTACTGATGTCTGGGATACTGTTTCAGAGCATGGATGAATCACACAGGAAGGAACACTTCCAAAAGGGTAAGGAGGAAGTCGTCGTCTGGTTTGACGAGAAGCCACCAGAGCCAAAGCTATTCAGTGATGAGGATTTGAAAGACTAACCCTAAGATATTAATGTATTATTGACATAGCCTTCGTCAACCCCTTATCAACCCTCCACCTTGCCGGCCCCTACTTACTGAGAGGAGAGGGGTAAGTAGGGACTGCAAACAGGCTAATATGGACATTTTGGCCAAATATATAATCTCTCGTGAATAACACTTCGCCTAATTCATTAAAGCCGTGGCTCATTATGTATACTAATTTAATAATAATAATTGATTTTAATCGGTCCTTGATTTAGACTAATCTGTGCATCGCATGTTAGGACAGTTTAATTCTTAAAAAGCGCATTAACAAACAAAAGTCTCTATGTTCTATGTTCAAAGATAAACACCATAAAAAGACAATAAAAGATTTCTGAATACAATAATTAAATAGACTATGCAAAATATGAAAAATTAAAAAACATATCTTTAAATTCAAAAACAAGGTTAAAGAAACCTACAGATGTAGACTCGGGCAAACTGCTCCAAAGTTTAGGACCACTATATAAAAAGCTCTGCCAGTCACCATAAATAACTTAGGTAAAGTAAGAAGGGTTTTGTTTGAAGATCTATAGAGCCTAGACTGAATATCACAAAATAGAATTAATCAATAGAAAACGAAAGCACGATACACGATGGCATAAAACTACAATATTCGTATTCTGAGATAGCTATAAAAAGTCATTATGGCGGCCATAAACGTAACGCAAAATCATTGACATTATTCATAGTCTTTTTTGGAGAGCATATCTAACGGATGGAAGCTCATGACTGATGATTCATATCTGATAATTAATAAATCTTAATTAAAATTGAATTATTGGTAGACAAGAAATATGCTCTTCTTTTGTCTTCTAGATCAGAATTTCATAATAAAAGTAGTCAAACATTTCAACATTTCGATTGAAATAATAGCCAATTTTTCGATGAAATTCACAGTAAACATAATTCTATTACAGCTTATGACTTACCTCGAGAAAGAGTTGTGCTCTATAGCTTAAAATAAATCTTTTTATCCCTTTCCGACGTCTTTTTATCCACTATGTCTGTCGAGGAATTTAAAACTGCCGCCATTTTGGTGGGTGATTTTTGTGTTGGTGGCCGTGTGGCCAGGCCTGATACTGACGTTACAATAGGCGCAAGGCACTATGGGATTTTTTTTTCAGTTTTATTTCACTTCTTGATTCGTGTGAAGTGAAAAAGTTTTTTCGGGCTTTCGGATCGCATCGATGAAACGCGATCCATAGACTTTCTGCTCAAGAACGAAGGAAATAAACACATCTACGATAAGGTAAGTTCTCAAAACCATAGTTAATGGAGCGAAATGTTATATTCCGCTCCATTAACTATGTCAAAACTAGTACGTTGACTATTTATACCTTCAAGGATTTGCTGCATTTTAAAAACTAAGGCTGTCTAGTAGATTTTAAGAGACTTTATAGAGCAGTTTTCGTATGACTGTTAAATGTTTTCGTATGACTGTAAAACTTGGAAAAAAGGAAGAAGGGACTATGAAATAATACGAAACGAAATGGTGACTAATGCTTGGAATGACAAAATAAATATTCTGAATCTCCCTGGCTAAGTAGGCTATAACAGATCAATTTGGTAAGGACAAGAGAAATAATGAGAAGGTAGCTCCTAACAGCATTAAAAATCTGATCGATGCAGCTAAGGCAAGATTACCAGAAGCCAATAGTCTTGTACCACCAAGTCTGCAGCTAAAAAGTTAAAAACAAAAAACAAAAAAAACACATTCCTCTACACAAAAATAAATACTTTTAATCATTCACATAAATATGTTAAAGACTTCGTGACTTTTCCAGACATAATTACATTCTAATGATATTCCTTTATACAATTCATTGTTTAAAAATATACAAAGCACTCTCGTTATAAATTAAGATAAAAATGTTTGAAATGAAGTGAATTCTCAAATATTTTAAAGTTCGTAATTGAAGATTTTCCTTCCCAGAAGCTTTCAGTTACTTCTTCTTTACTTTGGTGGCAGACTTTCGACCTCCTTTCCCTGTCGTTGAGGCACTTTTTCTGCTCTTACTTCTGCTTGGTGATGGAGAGCGATCTTTTTGTTTCTCAGCTTCGATTTGTTCCTCCTTTTGTTTTTCAGCGTCTAAGAATTTCTGTCTGTATAGTTCTCTGGCCGCCGTTATTTCTTGGCGTGCCTTGTCGAGCTCCGCCTGAGGATATGATAAATTTGTGTTATGAAAAAGAAATTGTTATTGTCCCTTTTCACAGCCTCGGATTTAACAGTCTCACAATGCGAGATTTAGTCTGCAGAGCAGGCGTTCTTTTGATGGATTTGAGAGGAAGAATCGGGGTTTTGGGGTTCCTGTTTCGACAAAGGGCCCGCGAGGAAAATGCTCGATTTCAATTCTCGCTCGTTCCAAAGTTCCTCCAAAATCCCAGTTTTTCCCCAAACCCACAAGAACGCCTGCCTATTTGCAGACTATGCGAGATTTCAAATGTTTGTATGAAAAGAAGGCCAAACCTAATAAATGGTTACTTTTTCTTGGTCCTTCCCTCCCTCTATACTTTCTCAATTTTTATACTTTTCAGTTCTCAAGATTTCAAACCAGAACTAAAACATTTTTCTTTTATTTTGCAACTTTTCTTTTTCTTTTTTCATTTTTCTTCTATTCTTTCTTCACCAGCACTTAGAATGTTTACCTTTCTTCATTTTTCTTCGTTAGAGTGAAGTCATTAAACCCGTGAAATAGATATTAGACTAATACGCCTTACTAGACCCTTTTTATTTGTGTCTATTTAGCTATTACACGTTAACTAGTATTTTTTATGCACGAGTTAAATGCCTTCACTCTATTCTAGTAACCCTAACATACTGTGTAGTTTAAACTAAGTTACTACGACTCAATGACATGGCGTACTACGTTAATGGACGCCGTTGCATATTATTCTAAGTCAAGTGTTCTCACCTGCATTTCTTCGGCTTCTTGTAGTTGTTTTTCTTTAGCCATATTCCTTTCTAGTCTGTCCTGTTCACGTCGTTTTTCAACTTCCTCTCTCTTGGCCTTGAAATTACGAAACGCTTCTTGACGCGACATTCGTCTGCGCCCTTCCTCCTCTTCATCCAACAACACAGGGTGACCGCCTCGGGATCTTAAAGTAGAAGAAAAAGTTTTATTAAACATTAAAGTATTTGAAAGGACTATTTTCGAATTAGTACAATACTACTGAGTTCCCTGATTACAGTCTCATTTACTCAGGGTGAATCTCTCTTCTGTGTGAAATATTAACATATACCAAGGGTAAAGTAAAGAATGCACGACTTCAACAATATGAACACTTTAAAAATCAACGGACCTTCACTGAACACATGAATATTCTGCACAAAATAGAGGCTAATCCTGAGCAACAGAGAACTTGAAAATGAAGTATAGGTCGTTTGCATGATGGCTTAATTTGACTCCAACTACCAGAATCCCTTGCAAACTTTCTTTTGTTGAGTTAATTAGTCTTACTATAGTCATGAGAAAATACAAATTTGAATGAAAAGAAATCGTTATCCCAAGTGCTTTACTTAGTTTAAACGAATTCAGCTTTCGACCACCCTTCTAAATAGAACCAAGAAAAGATCACTTGGTTCTATTTACAAACCACTGTAAACGCAGAGATAAGGATGGTCTACTAAGCAAGCAGTCCATTTAGTGAGCCCCTTCCCCCCCCCNCCCCCCTCCCCCCTCGATGAGCTTCTGCTCTTGGGGCAAACTAAACGAATAAATGAGTCTGAAATAAAATACAAATATTAAAAAAGCAGTTTTTTTACCTTATAAGTATTGGAGGCTCGAGTGGTTTCAAGACTTGGTCCGGCTCCTTAGGAGGTGGTATTAATGTGAGCTCGCTCTCRGCTTCGGATTGGACGGGTGACGTCACTGTGACTAGACAAGAATGAGGAAGAGAAAAAAGGCACAAAAATTATCTATGAATATTCTACAATAAAAAGATGGAATTTACTAGGCTTTGAAGCAAGAGACCTCTTCGTGGTCCAAAAGTGGAATTGCCTATTTTTTCATTTTATTTTGACGCAGCTCTACTAAGTGGTAATGTCATACATTTTCTCGTACCCTGCCTTAATTAATACGGCATCCATTGTTAATGACAATACTGATCATTAACTATGGTCGAAATGGCTTACTTAAAGTGTCTACAACCCTCCTGACAATATTCTCAGTATTGATTCTGATTCTACATTGGGTCAACTGGTGAATGACCTTAAAAAATTCCATAGTTTGATTGCGGGTCCTTGAAGTTATAAGTAATCTTTCAAACACGCGAGAGAGTTCTTCCTCCGATTTCCAAACACCGAAAAGTGAGGTGAAAAAACGAGGCGCAACTTTGAGGTGTTTGGAAAACGGAGGATGAACTCTCTCAAGTGTTTCAAATTACTTCTCAAACTCATGAATATTTCTTGGAGAAAATCAAAGAAAAAGTTTACGAAATTTAATGCAAATTAAGAACACATTTCCAAACCATCGTCACAGTAGTGATTTGCTTTGTTTTCTCCTCATTAATTATTCATGAGTTTTAGAAAGGTTTTTCCATGCCATATGGTAGTGACAGTAATGGCACTTTAATCATCCATAGAATAAGTACAGCCTATTTGTATAATTGCGAGTTGTTCTACTTACACACTTCGCTAGGAGCTTCAATCTCCTCACTTTCTTCTTCTATCACGTCTTTTTCCACCTTCACCATGTGCTCGCTCAAGAACTTCTGACGGCTTTGCTGTGCCTGCAAAAGCCGTTATACGTATGGTGTTCAATATTATTTGGTCGATTAAAAGCTGTTCTGACTATAAGTATGTAGCTAGACTTTTTGCTACTCATATAATTATATTATTATCATTATCATCACCATCACCATGATCATCATCATCCATTATCATCACTATCATCATAATCATCACCACCACCACCACCATCATCATCATAATCATCACCACCACCACCACCATCATTATCTTTATCATCACCATCATCATCACTATCACCATCACCATCACAACATCATCATCGTCGTCATCATCATCGTCATCATTATTATCATTATTACTTACCTTGGCCGCGCGTCCAGGCTCGGCTGCTTCCCATGCCATTTTCATGGCTTTTATTTCGTCCTGCCTTTCCGTGTCTTTTTTCACTTCAATTTCTTCCTACAAGGACACACCAAGTTTTGAATATTGTTAAATGTCGATTATCTATTTAATCATCACCATCATCACTATCATCATCACCATTATCATCACTGTCATCATCACTGTCATCACTATCATCATCATCACCATTACCATGACTGTTAACGCCACCACTATCGAACCAAATCTAAAACCAAGGATGAATCATTCTCGCCAACATCATCATCGTCGCCATCATCATCATCATCATATCATCATCATCATCGCCTCCACCATCATCATATTATCTCACCATTCAATCACCATAAAGTTTTACAGTCATAAAGATGGTTTACTTACAGCACTAGCATCACTGAAGACCCTCAGCACCCAGTTTGGTTTGGTAGAGTCAAACTGCTGTTGGGAAGATGGTCTAGACCCTGCCTGTCCCTTGCTGGATCGGCTCTCTTTGCCTTCTTTACCCTTCTTGCCTTTAGCTCCTGTGCTGGCTGAGAGTTTATCTCCCCTGGGTAATGTATCGGATGGACCTGAAGAGCAAGTACATCACCTTAGGAAACTAATAGCTGAGCAATAGCTACAAATTGTGGAAAAATCGTTTACTATTCGTTATTTTTAACATCACTACAAACACTAAAACAAAAACAAAAAACCACCATCATCATCATCCCTATCATCATTATCATCATTATCATCATCATCATCACTATCATCACCACCAACTATCAAAATCCTCATTATTACCATCATCATCATAATCATCATCGTCGTCATCAACAACAATCATCATCGTCTACACTATTATCACGATAACGACCACCACCCCCACTATCAAAAATAATCATTATTACAATCATTATCATCAGGTTGTCATGATCACCACTACCACTAACACCACCACCACCATCATCATCAACATAATCTACACCATATAATAGGATCCAAAATCATTATTAACAAACATCATCAATATCATTTATTAACTTCATCAATACAATAAATAACCTAGACAATCGCAAACTGGCTACCAACACCTGATACTGCCCTATTATAAGTCTGATAATAACACTAATTCACCTGATTCAAGGTCACCTTTCTCCAAATTTTTCATCATTTGCACGAACTCCCATGAGTTCTTGGACAGCGGCCAACTGTCACGTTCGACTACGGCCTGGATAATGTACTTGTGGATCTGATGAATACGATAGAAAAACCGATTGAAAAAACAATTTATTGATAGAAATAGTGTTATTAGCCATTTCGAGGTCAGGTAAAGACTGGGGCGAACGTAAAATCGTAATTCGTTACGAAAAATCTTAGCACTAATTTACTTTGTGGCAAAAGAGCCCTTCATAGTTTCCTGCGCCATTTTGAAAGGTAACCGTGCCTGTGCATCGAAGCGAGGACAAAGGTGACCTTGCAATGATAGAGACATATGAACAGTTACTAACTGTCCAAGGTGTTTAAAAAAAGGTCTCTATCATTTCCAGGTCACCGCCGTCCTCGCTTAGATGTGACAGGCGCGGTTACCTTTCAAGATGGCGTAGGGAACTATTCCCTTATTCATTTATCTTGTTTACTCTGTTTCCTCTTTTTTAAAAGATCTTTGTATTCAAGTAATAACCAACCTTGATTTCTGGCTCAGCATCGCCATTATCTTCGGGTTCTTCACGATCCTCGTCATCCATGAAATAGGATTTAGATCCCTTTTGCTGGACAAATAAATTCAGTTTTATCTATTATTAAGTCTTCAAGGTGTCACAATAGCATATATCATAATTATATTCTATTGACCCCTTGGAGCACGTAAGAATCCAGCTCAATTTGGAAACATAATTCAGGCGCCATAATTCAGCTTGGACTGCCTTGGGTTAGATGGCTGAAACAATACCATCCCTTTGCTCTAGGGAATCGAATTCTTTCTCATGTGAAACGATTGTATCGTTCCTGCCATCTAACATGGCTTCCATCATGTGATGGTGCAAAACATCTATAGGATTCCAATTTTCAGGAATTTGAAATTCKTTTGCTTTGTCCTTCAAGATGAACTGCTTTGACGGACCTCGCATGCAAGGGGTCTATTGCCTTCAAAACACTGTTGCATTTGAGTCGGTGTCTATACATTTCATTGGATTGGCCCAACTGCCTCAATTTGAAACGATTATTTGAAGGTAATAGATTGTAACGGTAATATCTCCTATCAATTATTTCTGTACTGATGAGAAGGGCCTATTTCTTTCGTTTATTGGATTACCGGTGAAGTGGGCCTGGATGAGTTGGACGACTCTTTACCACTCTTCTTTGATCGACCTTGGGCAGCTGAGCCCGCCTTACGACCTCCTGACTGCGGTCGCTTCCCAGAACGTGGACGATTCGATGTAGGGGGCCTAGAACCTAGAAAAAGAAAAAAATTAAGAAAAGCTTGTTTATGATTTTTAAGGAAACATTTTCAAAACGCCCTCTGTGTGAATTCCTCGGTGTGGTGCATCAAAGGAAGGAGAAGTTCCTAGACTAAGCGTTGAATGATTATCCACAGGAAGCCCAAGCAAGATATCCCACCTCTTCTGCTCTGTTTTTCTTCCTCCTCACCCGTTCGATCGCGATAGAAAATAAAAGCAGGAATAACAGCGTGTCCCTTTCCCGTCGTGCTTGCTACTTCCTCTTCATGGTCAAGTACCTAGAAAGTAAATGACGATAGTATTTATTGCTGAAGAAATAGAAAACGCGCGCGCGTGCTGTGAGCTGTCATAAAGCACGCGCTCCAAACCAATCAGAACGCGACATTCATAACAGTTATTTTATAATATGAGATGGTAATAAATAAATAAAAAAGATCTGGATGATGGCACATGATGGGAATGTTTGCCTGTCATCGTAAATTTATCATACCGAGATTCATGAGATCCATTGATTCTAACCAATTGACCCTTTGCGTGTGACGTTAAAGCAGCTCAATTTGGAGGTCAAAACAAAATCATTTCAATCTCATGAGAATTGGAAACCTATTGTTATGTCCTCCAAACTAAGCTGCATTCCGACGTGCTGCAAGGGGTCATAGAACTGATACTCTCTGGTCGACAGCACATGACGGGCAGTACGAGTATATACCTAAACTGGTAATGACATTAATGTAGTACCCTATCCCTGCTGGTGATTTTTTTGTGTTGTCATACCTGTAGCTTAACGTAGACACCTTGTTTGGAGGTGCTCAGCTGTATGCTGGTCAGGTGATCATCCGTCACTTTTACTGTTTGCCTATTCATAATATAACAAAGTTATGTTACAAGAAAATTGCTTTAAGAGGACATTTTTTTCAATAATGAGCAATAATGGCAAAAAGCGCCAAAAACTAGACTTTCGTATGAGTTTTGATCCCA